ACAATAAACTCTCCTCCTCCTGCATGTTTCCACTGTCCATAGCGTTCCTTGACAGTGTCGTTTCTAAGTCACCAATTTAGTGCTACTTGGTTCCCAATGGAATTTCCCATTGGGAACCTACTAGCACTAAGTTGCTAACTGGTTAGCAAGATGCTTCCCACAAACCGGCCACAACCAAACTTGCTTGCGAACCTTCTGCCACAACAATCCCGCCCTCTTGATAAACGACCAATCACATCCCCTTTATTCACTCCTGTAAAGTCGGGCACCACTCGGGAGAATTGGAAATGCAACGGTTGGAACAGTGGCTTCCCTATGACTTTAGGTCTAGAACTCAGGTTATTGGTGTCCTAGGGTCTTGAAGGTCACAAGGTCAAACCTCAGATAAGAGCCTTAACCCTCCAAGCTGTTTTCTGCTAGCTTATTTGCTGTAATGTACCTTATTTTAATAAGGTGTCTTCTACAGTAAATTATTGCAACTAGCTTTTAGACTTGGCAAAGTTTTTTCATAGATGCCTTCCCCAGACTCAACCCCCCTCACAATGGGGACTGCTTATTTCAATATCTAACAAATCTCTTGATTTATTTCAGGGAATTTTAGTTCATATTTATATTGTATCTCTTTTTTTGTGTGTGTTTAATCCAAGAGGCATCAGGATTTAACTGAGATTTAAACGTTTCCCATGTTTGCTCCTGTGTTGTTTACGTTCCCTATGATAAATAGATTTACAGGCAGAGTCGGAGCAGCATCGGTGGAGAGAAACACAGAATTAACACCTAGATATTAAAGAAATGATACAGAAAAAGTCAAAGTAGGATGTATATTTAGAGGAACAGTTGAGATTTCTTCAGCTCTGCCTCCGGAGGCACAGGATTGTAGCCAAATATTAACATTCTATATAGATGGTGTTAGAGTTTTATTTTTGTGCACGACTTTATTTTTATAAAGAACAGAATAGAAATGAATGTTTTCTTCTCTCTGCAGGAGGGATTCACAGGGTTTGCTTGTCAGGAGTGTAAAAATCCAAAAGCATTTGGGAAAAAGTGTGATAAAGGTAGGCCCTCTCTCTCTTTATCTGTCTGACAGCTTGTTTCATTTTATCCTACAGGGAAAAATGTTTGCATTGGAGGTATGAAATAGTTCATAAATCCCTTAACCCAAATAAATTTAAGCTTAATGTGTCAAACCTGAGTCAATTAAACTTTTGGATTAAACTAAAGCTGATAACCTTCCTATTAGTTCATAATGCTGCAAACCGGAGGAACTGTTGCTTTCCTTAAAGGTTGTTTGGAGAAGCAGCTGCAGGATCTGTGTGGTTGTTTAACATGATGACCCTACAGTGGCTCAGAAGGGTCACATCTGAAACCAGAATCTATAAAAGTCTTGCCTGAGCCGCCTGTCGCTACAGCTGTTTAAAAAAGCACCGGACTTCGGCAGGATTAATGTTTTAACCTAATCACAGTGTCACCTGCAGCGGCTCTGCTTCCGGTGACTCAGCCATACCTGTGAACAGGATGCAGTGGCTGGTTTTCACCACTAGGTGTCACCAGAGTAGATGAATACAGCTTTCTGCTTCATGTTAGCATGCAGTGCTAATTCTGGGGTTTATAGGAGAAATTAAACACCTTTTAATAGTGTGGAAAGTGAAGTTTATATTAAATCCTGATATGATTTTCTGTTGTAATTATCAGCTGCTTCATCTGTGATTTGTATCTATAAACCACAGATAATTTAACACTCTAATAATCTTTCTCATTTCAACCTTTAATTTCCTCATGAATAAGAGGAACCTTCTCTCTGTAACAACCAGCAGCATCAGGCTCTGATTTGGAAACAGCTAAACCTGATTCCTTCTCAGATGTTCTCTGCAGATCAGGTTCTCTGGTAACTAGAATATCAATAGAGTCAAAGCTTTTTCTATTGATCAGTTCTGCATCCTGTCCTCTAGTGACTGAAGGGAGGAAAAACTTCAATTTGATCAAAAATAGGTGTAAATATTTCAACAAATCGTTCCATCGTTTGAGGGTTTCTGTTTTGTAATCTATCGTGTGTTTTATGAATGAGAGGAGAGATTTAATGGGATTGTTTGTGTCGTTGCAGTGTGTGACTGCGTGAACGGAGTGTGTAACAAAGGACCTGACGGTGATGGGGAGTGTCTATGTCAGCCGCCGTACACTGGGAGGCGCTGTGACGAAGGTAAGAGCAAAAACCACAGAGAATCAGATCAGACCTCCATATTTTTTTTTGTTGTTGTTTTTTTTAATAATCTTTTTTATTTACAATACACAACAATACAAAACTGCATTGTGTACATATCACAAAACAACAAAAACATTTGCCAGGGGGAGCATTAACAGAAAACAATAAAAGTATAATAAGAAATGACAAAATAATCTTGTTTAAAGAAAAACAGTACCAAAGGTGACAAAAATACCAGATGCCACAGTGAATCAACACAATAAATGATCTAAAATTCCAAATTCCAATTCAAAGCCAAAGCAGCACAAACGGAGCTGAGTTAATTGACACCCATTTCGTCTGATTTGAAGAAGGTGTGTGTGTGTGTGTGGGGGGGGGGGATTTGACCTTTGATGACCTCTAGAAACATCTCTTTATATCTTTAAAACGAAAATTTTTGCTGCACAAACGGAGCACAAACAGTTGACACCAATTTTTTTTTATTTGAATAAGGTAGGGTAGGCTGGTTGACCTTTTGACCTTTACATATTCATTAATATCTTCAAATCCAAAGCAGCACAAACGAAAATGTTTGCTGCACAAATAGACTAAGTGAATTGACACCCATTTCGCCTGATTTGAAGAAGGTGGGGGGGCCAACTTCACTCAGGTGTGGTACCATGGTATAAGAGATGGGGAGAGACATGCGGCACAGGACCACAGGCTGGATCTGAACCCAGGTCACCTGCGTGGAGGACTAGGGGCTGTGTACATGGGCCGTGCGCACTAACCACTGCACCAGTTGCACGACCTCAATCGGGAAATACTAAACCATTATATGCTTTATAGTAGAAATGCTAAGAAAAAATATTTAAATGTTTTACATACAAGAGTGACAGGAATTTGTACTTTAGAAACTGTGCAACGTCTCATTTCTTCCACAGCAGGATCCTCACCATGCCCAAAGCTGGACTCTTACATATAGCTGATCTGATCAGCAACATGTTTTTTTTTATTTTAATTTTTATTTTAAGTGAGCCAAAACCCTGAAATTCAAAGTAAACTAATGGAAATTCCTGCTTTAATTTTTTATTCTTGTAATAAACAACTTGCTACGATTATGGGTTTATAACAAGTTCAGTATTGGTGTATGGCCTCAGCGTGCAGATCTGAAGCTGCTCATTGTGCTCCAGTGTACTCAGGAGGTTTTTGTGTTTGCCCAGGTAGAAAAATCAGAGTGAACATTGGTTACAGGGGTTGGTGGTTGGTCTGTGGCCAAAGGAGGATTGTCAGGTTCTATTGCAGGTGGGGGAGTTAGCAAATCCAAGATGTGTTGCAGAGGGCAGGAGTTTGCAGGAATTTAAGGTCAGAAGGTGATCATCTGTTTTGTCTGATCAGAATCCAGAACTAAAGCATACTGTCCAGTCAGCAGCTAAAGGGAAAACTTGAGGAAACGAAAGACAAGAAACAAACTTCCCTCATGGAGGCTAGCTGCAGCACACAGGAAGACACTCAGGCTTGGACTGATCAGCAGCCAGCTCCTCCTCTGCTCCTGCTGCAGAGCTGGGATGGCATAAAGCTCTGCGGCAGGAGCAGCTCCGCTCCGTCCTCAAGGCAGCTGAGCTGATCCACAGGAAACAGACAGAAGCACAACAACAGACCGCTGACAGACGGAGACTGAGATTTCTAATGGATCCTAAAAGAAAAAGGAAGAAACCGTTTCTAAGAGAAGCTTCTGGTCAGAAAAAGAAGAAACGATTCAGTTTATGTTGAACCAATTTCCCTTTAGTTAAAGCTTAATCAGTTGAGTTAATGGCAAAGATTATAGTTAAATCTGGATAAGGTGTCAGAAAACTTTATAACGCAACATGGTTCTAGATTTTAGCATCGATTCCTTTTGGTGAAAAAGGAGTTGAACATTCCAATGAAATTTGTCCTCACAGTTTAACCCAGACCGTGTTCTGAGTCTGATCCATTATCAATCACAAAGCAGCATCACTTCATACATCTGGACAGCCCTGCTCTTATTTTGAAATGCACCAGATCTGTTTTTTTCCTTCTGTATCTGACTTTGTCTCAGGTCTTAGGAAATTACAGCCTTTTGCTCTTTCATCTGTAAAACATTGATTGTTATATCTAACTGATGGAGGAGGGCTTTCCATCGTCCCGAATGGTTTAAAGGAAAAGTCCAGTCAGAAAGAAATAATCAATGGATCATTATCAATACCTAAAACTAATACATTCAATGATTTATTGAATTTAGTGTTAATAAGTGAAAAAATAAAAATATTTTTCGCTGCGATCACTGAGTTTGGGAGCTGCCATTTTTGCCCAAATATAGTAACCCCTCCCTCCTGCCATCTTCCAGCAGTGACGTCACGGTGCGGTAAGCCTAGCGCCATTCTCCCCGCTTTACAAGCTGAATCAATGGGAACTACTAGACACATCTGCAATCAACAACAATTATTGAAGATTTCCAGAGGACTTCACCATTGAAATTCACCAGAGCTATAGTGAAACTGACAATGCCCACGTGCATGGCAGCTGGATGCTGGAATACATCGGGTAAAAGTGAAAAAGAAGAGTTATTCCACCTTTCTGATTCCTGATCCTCCACGGACGGGTTGGTCGTTGGATCGCCAACTTGAAGAGGGAGGATTTGCCATCGAACTTCTGGCCAGAGAAAAAACACGTAATATGTAGCAAACATTTGGAAGAAGAATGTTTTCAAGATGACTTGGATAATAGCGCGTTGTGACAAACACCAGATACAGCACTGGGACTTGATCCACAGCCGATACCGCACCGTGACGTCACAAACCAGTAGGTGGCAGAAGTGTTCTTTGACAAACATGGATGCCTCCAGTAAAGAACATTGGGTACAAAAACTGATCAACGTGATGCATCATGAAAAGAATAATGATGAAGAACCAGAGGATCTAAAACTGTAATATTTATCTCCTCGCTTTAATCTCGGATTTTAGTGGTGAAGGTGGATTCCTTGATGCACATGGCTGTAAAACGCTGGAAACGCTGCATCCGTCTCATATCAATCTGTATGTATGTCTGTGTTTGTTGTCTGTGATAGTAAGCAGCGGGTGTCGAAGTTGCAGCTCCTTCTCGTACTGCAAAGGAAAAGAAGAAACTGCAGGCTGTGACTGCTTGCCTGGATACAGGATGATGAAGGGGAACAAGTGTTTAGGTGAGGTCTGATTTCACACACCACCAGCCTCTGTTGGAGCTCCAATTTAGGCTTCATGTCACACATCCGGTGTCAAGTTAATCTCAGTCGGCAGCAGAGACATGGATGTTGTGGTTAAGCGGAGGTTGCCGACAATATTTTAGTTTGATTTTCACATGTGACGCTAATCTGAACTGTACTGCTTCTTTCCTCAGCTGCATGCTCCCAGAGAGACTGTGATGTCAACGCCGAGTGCTCCACAAAGGCCACCAGTATCAGATGCACCTGCAAACCAGACTATGAGGGAGACGGCAAGATCTGTGTCCCGAAAAACCCCTGCTTGGAGAACAACGGTGGCTGCCCCATCAACTCCACTGTTTGTGTCTTCAGAGGACCAAACAAGGTGAGGAGGAAACCCAGAGTGGGAGCAGAACAGCTTGAAAGTCAGAACCAGTGTTTGAAATCACCTGTTCTCTTGTTTCACAGTCCAGCTGCGAGTGCATGTCTGGCATGTCGCCTGTAGGGGGCAGCCCTGAGAACGGCTGCCAGCTCGTCTCTGCCTGCTCAGTTGATACCTGCGATACAACAGCAGTCTGCCAGACCGAGCTGGATGGAAAGCCCAGGTCAGATGGATTAGATTTCCCTTCGTTCAGTTGGACCTTCGTCTAATCTTTTCAGCTGACTTTGATTTCTCTCACCAGGCTGCTTCTGCACAACATTGTTCAGATCTTTAGCATTTTTGACCTAAGTGAACTCGTAGTGGAAGGTTCCAGAACGCTGCTCTGGCATATAGAAGATCGGGACATAAGTGAAGCATGAGGTCACCTGTTTTCATTGACCACGAGTTTATACAAGGCTACCAAGTGCATTTACACATAGACTTAACTTTATTTATCCCTTCGGATGACTCCTTCAGGGATATTCGGGTTCCTGTAGCTTATGTAGAGTACAAAGGACCAAAGCAAGATGCCATTAAAGATAACAAATACAAAACACAATATAAAAAGAGTGTATATAGTACAAAAGAGCATAAAAAAGTTGTAATATCCTGTAACTCTACACTGTTAAGAGCTATGTATACTCCTGCAGCAGTGTGTCAGTTGGCTTTTCGCAGGTATGACGCAGATATTTTTTAAGTATGCCCAATTTTAAAGCGTGGTCTGCGCTATGTTATTCTACGCCGTAATGCAAGAGGGACAATCACAAACTAGCTAGGAATGTGGTTGTCTCCCTTTCAACTCCCCTTTTATCTCCTCTTTCTTTCATCTTTTCCCCTTTTTTTCTGTTTTTCTTTCCTGTTCTACTTGCATTACAGTGTCCATATAATTTGTTAGCCTGACGTAGTCCGACTCAATTCTAGTCAGAATATGAGTCTGATACTGCTCCATAGAGCTGTGATTATGGGGCGTGTTTCGAACG